CAAGTCTAACCTGATCTGATCCTGTTTACTTTGACTCAGACGGCTCAATCCAGCTCAGTCTGGTCCAATCTTGTTCTATCCGGTTTGTTCCGGTTGAATCTGGTTCAGTCTGGTCCGATCCGGTTTAAAGCCATTCCAGTCCGGTTAAATCCAGTTCTATCCAGTGCGGTCCGGTCCAGTGAGGTTCGATCCGACGAGATCAAGTTTAATGCGATTCAATCCGGTTCGACACAGTTTGTTCCGGTTCGATCGTGTTTAACCTCAGTCCGGTTCAGTCGGTTCGATCCAGTCAAATCCGGTCCGGTCAGGTTCAATCTCGTTCAATTCCTTGAACGTCAATCCGGTTCAATCAAATTTGATCCAGTTGAATCCAGTTCTATCCAGTTCAACGCTGTTTATTCCGGTTCAATCTTGTCCGGTCCGGTCCAGTTAACTCAAGATCTATCAACAGTGTAACCCAGCTCAGTCGGGTTCAGTCCCGTTTCCTGCAGTTCGGTGAAGTCAAATCTGGTTCAATCCAGTTCAGCCCAGCTTCATCCGGTTCAATCCCGTTTATTCCTTTTGAATCCCGCTCCATATAGTCAAATCCGGTCCAGTGTGGTTCAGTCTAGTTCGTTCCAGTTTATTCCAGCTCAATCAGGTCCGGTCAAGCTCAAACCAGTACAATCCTGTTTCCCTCCGCCTCATTTCGGTTCCAGCCAATTCAGAAAGTAAAAACGGAGAGAGCTACAGCAGGGGGATGACCACGAGTAAAAAAATTTTTCTTGAAAAACGTAACTGAATCATTCGTTCTCGCCCACTCGCGGTCATCCACCTGCGGTGGCTCTTCACAACCCTGTTTATTGCTGTTCGATCCGGTTCAACCACGTCTCATCTCATTCGGTCCGGCTCAGTCTGCTCTAATCTTGTTCTATGCAGTTCAGTCAGGTTCGATCCTGTTTGTTCTGATTCAACCCGATAAAAAAAAAAAGTTCAATCCCGCGCAATCCGGTCCCGTCCCGTCCGGTGTGGCTCAATCCAGTTCAACCCAGTTTAATCCAGTTCAGTCCTCTTTATTCCAGTTCAATCGAATGAAAAGAGAAGTTCACTCCGGTCTCAGCCGGTTCAGTTTGGTTTTATCCAGTTTATTCTGGTCGAATCCGGTTCGATCTGGTCCGGTCTGGTCCAGTGCGGTCCAACCCGGTTTAAATCCGGTCAAGTCCAGTTAAGTAGAGTTCCATCCAGTTCAGTCCAGTTCAATGAGGTTCGATCCGATGAAATCAGGTTTAATCCGGATCAATCCGGTTTGACAAAGTTTGCTCTGATTTGATTGGGTTCGATCCAGTTGATTCCAGTCAAATCCAGTCAGATCCGGTCCAGTCAGGTTCAGCTTTCTTCAGATCGATGAACTTCAATCCGGTTCAATCCAATTAAATCAAGTTCCAGCCGGTTCAATCCGGTTCAACGCTGTTTATTTCGGGTTTATCTGGTCCAGCCCAGTCCAATCCGGTTCAGTCTGTTTCCATCCGGTTGTCCACTGCGGTGCAGCCCACTTTAATCTTGTTCAGTCCACTCCAGTCCAGTTAAACCAAGCTCTGTTCAGTTCATTGTGGTTCAGTCAAGCTCGGTGCTGTTTATTCCTGTTCAATCCAGTTCAGTCAAGTCTAATCGTGTTGAATCCCGTTTATTTTGACTGAATCCACTTCAATCCAGCTCAATCTAGTCTTGTCTTGTCCCATCCGGTCCAATCCGGTCTTGTCTTGTTCCAAACGGGTCACTAAGTTTACATCCTGTTTATTCCGGTTCAACCCGATAAAACAAAAGTTCGATCCGGTTCAGTCCTGTTTTTTCTGGTTTCTTCCGGTTGGATCTGGTCCAATCCAGTCTAATCCAGTCTAATCCGGTTAAATCAGGTTCAATCCAGTTCAGTCCAGTCTGATGAGGTTCGATCCGATGAAACCGAGTTGAATCTGGTTCAATGCGGTTCCACACAGTTCGTTCCAGTTCCACCGGGTTCGATCAACTTCAATCCGGTTCGGTTGGTTCGATGCAGTTTGTTCAGTCGAATCCAGTCAGATCCGGTCCAGTCAGGCTCAGTCTTGCTCAGATCGGTGAACTTCAATCCGGTTTGATCCAGTTTGATCCGATTAGATCAAGTTCTATCCGGTTCTACCCTGTTTAATACAGTTCAATGTGGCTCAATCAGGTTCAGTCTGGTCCAGTCGAGTCCACTGTGGTCCAGTCCGGTTTAACCCTGCTCCAGTCCGGTTAAATCAACTTCTATCCAGTCCGGTAGAATTCAATGAGGTTCAATTCGATTAAACCAGGTTTAATCCGGATCAATCCGGTTCGATCAAGTTCAGTCCAGTTCAGTCATTTCAACCCGGTTCAGTCCAGTTTAATCCAGTCAGATCCGGTTAAACGGAGATGCGTCCGGTTCCATCCAGTCCACTCGGGTTCAGCCCCGTGGATTTCAGTCCAATCGTCAACTTCGATCCGGTTCCATCCGGGTCGATCCCGTTTATTCCGGTTCAATCCGGCTCAGAACGGTTGAATCCGCTCGAAAGTTGCAGAATCCGGGCTCCGTCCGGGTCGATCCGGTTCCGGCCGGATCGGAGACGGGAAAGAAACGGGGAGCGCTACCGCTGGGGGATGACCGGGACTGCGATCCGCGGCGCTACCGCAGGGGAGTCTGACCCCGCCCGCCCCGCCCCGCCCCCCCGCAGGACGCCGCACATCGACCGCCTGGCCCGCGAGGGCGCGAAGCTGACGCAGCACCTGGCGGCCTCCCCGCTGTGCACGCCGAGCCGTGCGGCCTTCCTCACCGGACGCTACCCCGTGCGCTCAGGTGCGGCCCCGCCCGACCCCGACCCCCGACCCCGCCCCCCGACCCCGCCCCCCGACCCCGCCCGCGACCTCACGGCCCCCCCGACCCCGCCCGCAGGCATGGCCTCGCGCAACCGCGTGGGCGTCTTCCTCTTCTCCGCGTCCTCCGGGGGCCTCCCGCCCGGCGAGGTCACCTTCGCGCGGCTGCTCAAGGGGCGCGGCTACGCCACGGCCTTCGTCGGTGAGTCCCGGGGACGGGGCGGGCGGAGGGGCTTCCCCGGGCGACCCCAGTGACCCCAAATGACCCCGAATGACCTCAAATGACCCCGAGTGACCCCGAATGACCTCAAATGACCCCAAATGACCTCAAATGACCTCAAATGACCCCGAGTGACCCCAAATGACCCCGAATGACCTCAAATGACCCCAAATGACCTCAAATGACCTCAAATGACCCCGAGTGACCCCAAATGACCCCGAATGACCTCAAATGACCCCGAGTGACCTCAAATGACCCCAAATGACCTCAAATGACCTCAAATGACCCCGAGTGACCTCAAATGACCCCGAATGACCCCGAATGACCCCGAATGACCCCCGTGACCCCGCATGACCCCCGTGACCCCGCGCCCCGCCCCACCCCGCAGGCAAGTGGCACCTGGGCCTGAGCTGCCGGCACCGCAGCGACTTCTGCCACCACCCGCTGCGCCACGGCTTCGACCGCTTCCTGGGCACGCCCACCACGCACCTGCGCGACTGCCGTCCGGGCGGGGGCACGGTGTTCGGGCCGGCGCTGCGGCTGCTCGTGTGGGGGCCGCTGGGCGCGCTGGGCGCGGGGCTGGCCTCGCTGTGGGCGGCGCGGCGGGCGGGGCTGGCGCGGGTGCCGGCGTGGGCGCTGTGGGCGCTGGCGGGCGCCATGGGCGCGGTGGGCGTCGGCCACGCCGGCTTCCGCCTCTACTTCCGCCCGGCCAACTGCTTCCTCATGGCCGACCTCGCCGTCGCCCAGCAGCCCACGGACTACGCCGCGCTCACGCGCACGCTCGCCCGGGCCGCCGTCGACTTCCTGCGCGGGTGAGGCTCCCGGGCGGGGCCGGGTGGGGCCGGGGGGCGTGGGCGGGGCCTGTGAGGCCGGGACGGGGGTTCCGGGGACTTCCGGGGCCATTTCCAGTGTAAGGGCGGGACTTCCTGTCTGACTTCCTGTCGGGGGCGGGACTTCCTGTTACCGTTCTGGGCTTGAACGAGGCCCAGGCGCTGCAGGCGGGGCTTCCGGGGTCGCGGGAGACGGGTTCAGGGGACTTCCCGTTAGATTTTCTGGGTGGGCGGGACTTCCTGTGCGACTTCCGGTCCGGGGGCGGGACTTCCTGTTGGGCGGGTGGCTGTGGGTGGAGTTTCCGGGTTGTGGGCGGGGTTCCTGGGGTCGGGGAGGGTGAAACCAGGGCACTTCTGGTCCGGGGGCGGGACTTCCTGTGCGACTTCCTGTTGGGGGCGGGACTTCCTGTCACGGGACTCGGATTCGGGGGACTTCCTGTCGGGTTTTCCCGGGTGGGCGGGGCTCCCCGCGTCACTCCCCGCCCCGGCCCCGCCCCCCAGGCACGCGGACGCGCCCTTCCTGCTCGTGCTCTCCTTCCTCCACGTCCACACCGCGCACTTCGCCGGCCCCGACTTCCGCGGGCGGAGCCTGCACGGCGCCTACGGCGACAGCGTGGAGGAGATGGACTGGGGCGTCGGTGAGACGGCGGGACGCGCGGGCGGGGGACGGACAGGGGCCGGGCGCTACCGCGGGGGGACGACCGCGAGTGACGCGGGACGAACGTCTGAGGCGGGGGGACGACCGGCCCTGACCGGCTCCCCCCGCGGCCCCGCCCCCGCCCCCGCCCCCGCAGGCCGCGTCCTGGCCGCGCTGGACGAGCTCGGCCTCGCGAACGACACGTTCGTCTACTTCACGTCCGACCACGGGGCCCACGTGGAGGAGGCGGGGCCGCGCGGCGAGCGTCACGGCGGCAGCAACGGCGTCTTCCGGGGTGAGCGGGGCCGGGCCGGGCGGTGGGGGTCGGGTCCCGGGGGCGCGGGGTCGGACGCGGTTGCTCGCGGTCGTCCCCCCGCCTGAGAGCCGTCGCGTTCCGCGCTCGCGGTCGCTCCCCCGCGGTAGCGCTCCCCCCGTTCCCCCCCCTGCAGGCGGCAAGGCCAACAACTGGGAGGGCGGCGTGCGCGTGCCGGGCCTCGTGCGCTGGCCCCGCGCTGTCCCGCGCGGCCTGGAGGTCGGCGACCCCACGAGCAACATGGACGTCTTCCCGACCGTGGCGCGGCTGGCGGGGGCGGAGCTGCCGCGGGACAGGTGAGGCGGGGCCGGGCGCGGGGACACGGGGGTCGGGGGCCACGCCCACTTCCCGTCACGCCCACTTCCTGTCAGACAAACGTACTTCCTGTTAGAAATCGTCACTTCCTGTTAGGAAAGCCTATTTCCTGTCAGTTACACAACCACTTCCTGTGGGAACTGCTCACTTCCTGTCAGGAAACGTCACTTCCTGTGCCTGAGACGCTCATTTCCTCTCAGAAATGACGACTTCCTGAATCTATCACGTCTACTTCCTGTCAGAACAGCTCACTTCCTGTCGAGGAGAATAGTTTCCTGTCAAAAACACCCACTTCCTGTCAAAAACACCAACTTCCTCTCAAAAATCACCAACTTCCTGTCAAAAA